TGGGGTCAGACAGTACAAGAAGAGGAGAACGATCTAGTTTTGGGGATTGAGTTGTGGGGTGCCTTGGGTCAGACCAGGGAGAACCTTATTTTGACTGCAACTTCTCCCATCAAAATAGACTCAATTATATTATAATACAAAGAAAACTTTTTCATGATGCACAACATAGTGAAAACAGCCAACTTATATTTTATTTTATTATAAAATAACAGCGTTGTGGAAGTTTACAGGTGATGAACACGAGACTTATACCTTTCACACACAATGATTGGTAAACATACATAGATAATTTTGATGTCTCGTGAGCATTTGAGATGGTGTACAGGAAGCTAGCGTCTGTTGCCCTGTGCACCTAAAAAATGAAAACAAGTTTTTAGAATTTATTATATTATTATATGTCCAATAATAGCACATAAAAAAAATTAATTATGCTCATTAATAGCACATGAAGAATTATTAATTTTACAAGTCATGATGCACCAATAATATTACCACATGTCACACAAATCTACAAATGGCGAACCTTCGATTAAAGAGATTTTCAAGCCAAAGGAGAGAATGAAAATGATTCCCTTGATGATGAAAATGGATGGCCCACTTGATGAAAATGACTCGCTTGATATAACAATCATTTGATGCCTTTTTAACTTAATTATCTTTTCATAAAAAGCGAAGATCTGATCCGGTGTAAAGGGGGTCCAGTCTTTTTTCTCTCTTGAAAATACGCTATGCCCTGGAATCCTCCCCTGGCTATGCCCCTGGGAAGGGGTTCTGATAATCAATGGATGTCCCATATTTCCAGGATGAAAATGTATTAGCTTTATGCGTCACCCCCGGAGGACCCACAGGGACTCAGGGTTTGATTCGGCATTTGGACAAATCCCCAGGGTCCCCAGGAGTGACACCCTGGGGAAGCCACTGATTGATGCATTATGAAAACATTGCATTAATATTTAACAAATAAAGAAGCCAAAACCATGTATTATACTGTCATAAAACACGACGGGAATTTGAGAACACGAGAGAAATTGGGATAAAGTAGTGTTTTCTTTACAGTCATACTTCATTACAGTGCTCTCTTGCAAGAGATCGCTCTAAACGTTTTACATGTAACATACATTTTTGTATTTCTATGCTTCTATGCTTCACATCACTATTTTCGAAAAACGAAAAACACTCCACTTCCCGAACACATATGATGCTGCACTATGCACTTCAAGCTACATGATTCAAAATAAATTCAGTGTTCTGGAGAATAATATCGCGAGTTACTACAGTATGGAGGGTAAAATTAGTAAGACGGTGAGGGACCTGTAAGGGAAACCAATTTTATTCGAGTAAGCGGGAGTGAAATCGATATGATTTTGGATCGAGTTTAATAGCCGATTGGGTTTGCATTCAACATCGCGATCGCGAGTCAAATGTAGTACCAGGGCGGGAGAAGACTACATTTTAGCGCCCTGGTAGTACAGAACAGATATAGCTTGACAGGTAAAATTATGATAGAAAATTAAAGAAAGTTAGAGAAGAGAGATGACTGTACGTAGGCTGAAACTGAGCAGCAACTATAAACCTTCGAATTCCATAGTATTAAAAAAAGCTTACCTTGCACACTTTACGCATGAGGACTTGCTTGTCGTCTTACGGAAAACGGCTATTGTTTACCAACAAAATTTAATACAGTCGAACCTCCACTACGGCCAGGATTTTCTGTCCCTTCTGTGCGCTGATCGTACGCGTCCTGATTCATACACTTTATACTCCGATTGAATCCTCCCTTCGACGTTCAACGGCCACCTCTCTACAACGGCCAGTTAATAATTCTGCCCCATAGTGGCCGTTGTCGAGCGGTTCAACTGTTCTTAGGTCTGTACTTATATTAGTGATCTGAAGTTCGAGATCATGCCATGCATGGGCGCCATGTTGTAAATATAAAACAACAGAGCTAAACAACAGTCTCTTCGGAAAGCGTTCGCACTGTTCTCTGATTGGACAATAAGAATCGGAATCTCTTCGGGTGCGCATACGAAAATTGACCAAATTTGGTACTTATTCCCCCGACTGCATTAGTTTTGTCACACGGTGAAAATACAATTTTGCTGTTAGCTGTATGACGTCATTTCCCCCCATAAAACGTTATTTTTTTATAAATCGAAAAAACAAAAAACATACATGATTGGTTGGAAATTACAATTGTCTGTTGTATGTTGCAAAGTTTGTTTTAGATTCATAACGGAATTAAAACACAAATTAAAGTAAGTTTCCCTATATCATTTTTGGCCGCCAGCTGACCAAGGCTCACCGCTTCCCACCACAGCCTACGACCGCCACCACCGGCCACCACCGCCACCACCACCACCCAGACCACCACCAACACCACCACCCGCCACTACCACAATTATATTCACGTTAAGCTTCGGGGGGGGGACGGAGCTGAAAATTATATTGTTTACGAACCTTCCCTTTATTCTAGTAAGCTTGTGTCACTGACAGAATAATATCACTTTCTCATAATGTCTACCAAGGGGCTTAAAAAATATACCATCAATTTCTTTTTACAATATTCTCATTTCATCGACAAATCTTGTCCTAGCAGTATGCGGGATGTTTTGTTGTTCAAAAACTTGAACCTAAGTTATATGGGCCTTAGCTCCCACGAGACTCCCTGGTAGTCTCAGTGGTAGAGCGTCCGACCGGTGTGCGGAAGGTTTCATCAGGTTAGACTCCTGTTGGGGGAACTCGGAATTTTGTTTACGACAACACCACCAACCTAGAGCCACAGCTATAATTTTGGGAGGGGTATGGTCTAATTCAAAATATATTTTATGGCTGATGTAGCTTATAAAAAACGTATATCTGGACAAATATTTTACGGTGGAAAAATATTTATTTTTTTGATGTTTTACGAACTTTGTTGCTTGAATATATAACGATTTTCTTTTCGAGAGGGACTGGGACCTAGAACAAAAATTGGTAAATAAAAAAAAAAAAAAAAAAAAACGACGTACCGAGAAATATTTTTAGAGAATCCCACCGTTTAATTTAATTTATATTGTTTAACAACCACCCCACCACCACACCACCACCACCACACCACAATTCTATTGTTTTCGCAGCCACCACCACCATCGCCGACGTTTATATAGTTTTTTCAACCACGCATCACCGCGCTATAATTATATTGTTTTTACACCCTCCCTTCCTGTACGCGCCGCTCACTGTAACCCAAGTGTCAAGGTATTTCCTTGAAGATGCTCGGAGGGCCAGCTAAAAGGGTTAAAGAAGTCGACTTGTGGCGAAGTCTAGGTTAGAGAGAGCAAAGCTTAGCCTAGTAACCTACACTTGTGGAAAGAGCTAGTCCAGTCCCTCAACTCTCTCTTTACCCCGCCCTATATAGGGTCTGAACCCAGCGGGAGTAGAGAGAGTCCAGCACCACTTGCATGCGCATGCTCATAACGAACCAATCAAAATTCACTAGATCCCAATCTACGCTCATTTCCGCTCGGCGCCATGTTTATTCTCGCAGCTTCCCAGACCCGGGATCCTAGATCACCTCATGTAATGGAAAATTACCTATTTTAGAGCTCAAGGAATCGTTAAAAATGTTAAGAACAAATTGCAGCAAATTGGGATTTAAGCCTATTATTTTGGCAGCTCAGATTCAGGCTACGACACGCGAGGCATGCTGGAAATGACGGCTACGAACAAGATGGCGGCTGTATATAGGAGCTCGTGAAGTTAACGTTTGGTATCATTGTAAAGCTCTTTTGCCGATATCTTCATGGATTAGATGGCATATGATTGTTAAGTAATTCAACTTGGGCTGTTCCACGATCTCCCGAACCGTATAAATTTCAAAGCGGCATTGCAAGAAAGTCAACTCGATATGGTGTTTTATTCGGTATGATTCCTTGTGGCTGACTGCCTCTGAGCTGGATTGTGATCAGAGCTGATAGCTCTGTTTAATGGTGTGTAGAATACAATTGCTGTTTATTGTGCACGGTTTGTTTTTCCAGATAAAGGATAATTTTTTAGCGTTATTGTTCGGTTATTTGGCCAAATTGGGCACTATATTTGAACATTTGCTTGTAAAAATATTTGAAATTCTGGAATATTACATTCTAAAAGTAAGAAATATAGGAACTTACTTATACTGTACCTCCCGGTTATAACTGCTTATAATAATAAAACAGATAACAAAGCAACTAGATTGGTAGTGGTAGATTTTTGTTATAACATTATTTTGGCCAGGGATCTTTGAAATTGTCATATTTTGGATAAAATTATGACCTAATTAAAATATAGAATTTACATGTGTAAAGTGAACCGCAAGGATCGCTTCAGAAGCGATCCTTGCAGGGTTTTTTTTTGCAATTCTCTGAATTTGGTGATGCTTCTTTTATGTCCACTAGTAAAACTATGGCATTCACTTTCTGATGACAGTTTACACCTGTATGCACATGTTCTTCAATCTCCATAAATTCCATCGCTTTGATACCAAATGTTGCAACAATAATTATTTCCAGTACGTCTGGTTACGTATAAATTTTACATTTCCTTCTTTGCATCAGCCTCTCCAAAATAACTTAAGAAGCAAAATTAAATCAGAAGTGTTTGTGATGAATGATTTCACTTACTCTAGATCACATATAATTATTATTTCTGTTTGGCAGAGTAGATTTCAAACTCTTTGTTAGATCTCTTTCACACCCTTTCCCATACTGTTCAAAAGACTACACTGTAGATGGTGATCAGAAGTGAATGATTTTGTGACACATCAGGACAGTTTTATGCTCATACTAAATGCTACTGTAGCAGTGACTACTCAAAGTTGACACTCAGTATTACAAAATGGCTGATGATAAGATTTCTTAGTGATATCATTGGTGATGTTTGTGAACATGCATGTAATATTATTGACAAGATTTTGAATTCCACATTAATCTTTGAAGAAAATATTCAAAAATCATAGCATAGTCATTTCTCAGAAAACAATACATGTACACATGTACTTTTGATGCTTTCCTTCTTTATTCTTGAGGTCATTAATAGGCACAATTTTCCTTTGTTCACTTTGTACATGATTCTTTTGGTTGTAATTGCTGCTTGCCTTTACAACAGCAGTAACCAATATAACAGTCGGGGAACAAGTGCTGTTTTTGGCAAATCTTTTGTTTCAAGTGCCCACAAGAGTTACTGGTTACTCCAAAAGTTGGCATGCCATCAGGATATGCTTAGCATTTTTGGGATGAAAACCGCAGGCTCAGACAGTTATTGGGAGACCGGAATTTTAAATCAACTTGTACTAATTAAGTCTTGTTCCCTTGTTAACAGCTATATATCACTTGTAATTGTTCCCTTGTTTTACTGAAAAACTGCCGTTTCTTTCATCATGAGTGGCAGAGACAGTAAGTGCCATAATTATTGGTACACCAATTATTTGAACTTTCTTTAGGTAGGTTATAGTAATTAAGGCATACAGCCAACAATTATCTTTACATATAGGATGTGGAAATTATTTAGAGGCAAGAAGGCAAGTCTGACATTCCAATTGGGAAAATAATAACAAATACAGCAATTTGTGTGAGGACAAAACATGGAACCCAGGTCCATATTATAATATATGGACCAGGTGGCATGGATCACTTCTGCACACTATACATGTACCCGGTGCATTGGACCCCCTAGTTTTCGGCCCACAAAGATATAAAAAATAAACAAAGAGCTAATAGCGTTTAGCTGCGAAAATATTAAAAGGAAGTGACAGGCCTAACACAATCCCTACTGTTCTTCTGACGTTTGTGTATATATACTGTTCTCTATAAATCCAGTCTCTCACAATATGCTGTATTTTTAGAAGGAGTTTAGAATAGAGCCATTTGACTGTGGGTCCGGCAAAATCGTCATACATCTGTGTTTTTTTTTACCCAGTGGGTCGCAACACCCGTCTCATGTACACTTGGGCAGCCACAGAATGACTGACTTGGAGGAAATATTTATTTTTGTTACATTGTATTTCTAAATCCTGCTGTTTTATTTTGTTACACATTTTTTTCGGCTAAGAAAAAATATTGTTAATGTTTCATAGCTGAAATGAGGGCTGATTAGCTCAATAATTTTATTGTTACCTTTTATTTATTATTATTTATTTTTGGGGTAAGAAAAATATGGGGTCCATGGACCGGGTCCGTACAGTGTACTTAGTGGTCCATGGACCCCCTTTTGGACTGGGTCCATGTTTTGTCCTCACCCATGTAATGTATTATATTTTCTCCCGGGTGGGGGCACTTACATACATAAGCTATAAGGGTATGTGCCACTGTGAAGGGTATGGTTTTCAAGCAGTTTAGCCTGGATAGGGTATAAAAATCAGAGAGTTCTGGTTTAGAATAGGGTATCATTTACTGGGAACTGAATCAACTGTTCAGTGGTATAACAAATTTAGTCTAGGAATTGACACTTAATTGGAATTGAAAGAGCCCTATACAAAATGGAAATACAAATCATTATGGTGACTTTAATAGCGCAACTCTCATAATAGAAAGAGTTTCTGAAAAATAGCGAGTCTGCCAGGATAGGATAGGGATTTTTGGTGTCTAGTCTAGAACAGGATTTCAAAATGCAACTGAACATGCTCTGGTATAAGGGTTTCAGAGTCCCAGAGGAACACCCCCACCCAAACATTTGTATATGTAATAGGACTACGTACTGTCCAATTTGGGAAATAATTGGATGATAACAATTCTGAGGACTGCTTAATTGGACGAGGCTGTAGGACGAGTCCAATTTGGCAGTCAGAGGAATTTTTTTAATCCAATTATTTCCCAAATTGGACAGTACGTAGTCCATATTACGTGTTAATTATATTGAGCATGGGAACTTGTGTTGTCCAATTTGGGAATAATTGGATAGTTGCTTGAATAGGATTTTGCAGTAGTAATACGTATCGGCTTAACAGAGTAATAGAGTACCACCCCCCCCCCCCCCCCCCCCCCCTTCCAGGATATTTCTTAAGAAAGGAATGTCTCAAATGTTAAGTATAAGCTGAAACATAATGTAAAAACATGAAGTTACACGTATAAGAACCTTAGAGCTGGATTGTATACATATAAAGTTATGTATAAAAATAAATAAAGTTAAATTTTAACATGCTGTCACCACACATAAGTAGAACTTAAGTTAAGCTCGCCACTTCTTATATAAGCTTATACAGTCATAATTTTCACAAAAATTGTCTGCATTGGAAAGAAGGCAGGTCTTGAATTCTACTTGAGAGAATAATACATGTGCTAGTAATACACATCTCAAGAAAGAAATGTCTGAAGTGTTTAGTAACAGCTGCATATAGTACAAATGAAAACATGAAAGTCATATTAAAGAACCTCACAGCCATGTTGTCAGGTTCTGTTCAAAATAAAATTGAAATAAAAAAATTAAACAGTGCCTTTCTGCAAAATGTTTTATTTATTAAGCTTTATACATAAGCTTACATTGCAAATAAAGTTAAGATAGGCTTACATATGTTCACTAGATCAAGTGACTTATTAAATTTGAACTCGAAGGAAGTTTCCACAAACGAAAACGCTTAATTTGTGTAAGCTTAGTATAATTTTGCATCCACGCTCTCCATAATCAGTGTCAAAAGACTGAACGATCCAGTCCTCACTGTACAAAGTCAGAAAATAACAACAAGTGTACTAACCATTGCAGCATTCATCAATGGCCAGACTTTGAATTT